CACTTTGGAAAAAAATCTGTTTCTAATCAACATTAAAACATACTCCTACCCTACTCCACGCCTAAGTATTCTTTCAAGAGAAATGAAAATATATAGCCACAAAAAGATTTACACATTGAGGTTTATTTGTGTTGTTGCCCTTGAGTAGATCATTCTTTGTTGTTGTTGTATGGATATACCAGTTTTTCTCTATTTGTAGAGTAATATTTGGATGTTTTCAAATTTTGCTTGTTATGAATAAGGTTGCTATATTCTTGTGGTGAGGTTATACAATTGTATATATCTGTCAAAACTTATAGCAGAATTATGTAATCAAAAGGATTAATTTTACTATATGTAAATTATACTTTAATAAAAACCATGGGGGATCTCATAACTGAATGCTTAAAATGTATTTGTTATAAATTATGTCTCTATGTAAGTAAATAAGCTAATGCATTTAACCCAGTTGCTGAAAGAAGAGCCACAGAGGAAAAACCCAAAGTAACAACTATGAAGACAAAAAGCAATGTGGGAAAAAAACAGTGAAACAGATTAAAACCAAAATCTGTTTCTTTGAAAGAGTCATTAGATTAGTCAGAGCTCTGACAAGAATGTATACAAGAAGGAGTATGAAAAAATAAACAGAAAGGAATTATCAAAGGAGGCTTTAAAAAAAGTATTATAACTATACACTAATAGGTTTAAAAGCTTACATGAAATGGGTTAGTATGTAAACTAAGTAGTATTTAAAATTTTAAATGGTAGTAAAAGACCTCCACTCCCAACAAATCCCAGGCCAAGATAATTTTACAGGTAAATGCCTTCCATCGTCCACTGTATATTTCCTATCATATACAGGACTAGGGGCCCGGTGCACAAAATTCGTGCACGTGGGGTGTTGGGGGGTGGGGGGGGGGAGGGTCCCTCAGCCCAGCCTGCCCCCTCTCACATACTGGGAGGCCTCAGGCGTTGCCCCCCATCACCCTCCAATCGCAGGATCGGCCCCTTGCCCAGGCCTGAGGCCTCTGGCAGAGGTGTCAGGCCTGGGCAGGGGACCCCCAGCTCCCCGCGGTTGCAGGCTCCGCCCCTGCCCAGGCCTAACGCCTCTGGCCTAGGCGTCCGGCCCGGGCAGCAGGGACCTGCAGTGGCAGTGGGGGGTGCCGCGATCGCGCGGGCTCTGGCCCTGCCCCTGCAGGACGCCTCTGGCTGAGGCATCCGGCCCAGGCAGCGGGGATCCGCTGCTGCAGCGGCCCACGATTGTGGTCTTCGCTTTAGGCCCAGGC